CGCAGTAAACCCACTTGGAGGGCTGCGCTGCTATATTAGAATATTTATTATATCATATTTTCCGGACATAAAAAAACCATAAACAGTCCGTAGACTTACGCATCGAAGAAAGCAGAAGGTTTCGCAGAAATAGAGGGTCGTTCATTGCCAGATGAACCAAGTTTCACTGCCAGCTGTATCCAATTATCAAGAAAAATGCCCTCAAAAAGTGCAAGGTTTTCGATGTTAGACGTTGGGACATGTGAACAAAACCTTTGGCACCATCGGCTTAGGAATTTCGGCCGTATTCGGAAGCTGAATAAACATCGTAAAGTGAGCATCACCGGAGGAAGCACCTCTCTAAAAGCGAATAACAAGACATGTTATGCTACCAAGCCGACAGCACAATGGCATCCTTCGTACATACCCGATAGAAAAACACATCGGTGTCTTCAGGTGTGACAAATTTCGTGTCTTTCATAAGTTTATCCAGTGAGTCCATGTGAAACCGAAACAAGTCGATGCTGCGGCAGAGTGTCACGTGATAGTTCTTGTAGCAGAGCCGCACAGCCAAAAGCAATCGTAAAAGAGACGTGTTGTCGTTAGGGTTCCAGTTGAGAAACTCCTGAAAAGAAACATACAGTCAATCTGTCATGAAGTCAGTCAGTCTCTCATTCTTTCATTCATTCATTAATTCACAAAATTATCCATTCATTCATTCAGTCAACTATTTAGCCTGCACTGATGCCTTTCAAAATACTATTCAGCTGAAAAATCATTTTGAAAATACTGGAAGGGTTTCAAGTGGAGGATCGAAGTCTTCTTCATCAAAATAAAACTCCGGACGTATATTTTCATCGATCCACACGAAGGCAATACGAGCTAAACATATTGCGAATCATTAATAACGATCCAATCATTAATAATTAAAATCTGTTACCGCACAAAAAATGATTTGCATAAGGCAATGCAATGCCGAACCTGTCACCGTTCTTCGATGGACCGTCGAGGTACCTCACCTGGAGTTCACTAGAAGAGCACCATAGTACTGCTTCGACAAGAGTATTTTATTGCAGTACCTGGTCCTAATGTCCCAGATCCTTGCTTTCGTATAACGAAATCCATCGTAGTCAAGAACCGTATCAACTAACCTTTGCAGCCACGGGACCAACCGCACCTCTTCGGTTTCTTCATCGTCACTCGCCATCGGGGACCACCTCGTGATCAGCAATCACCCTAAAACCTACTATATGCTTCTATAGGTCAGAAAATAGTACGAAGTTTATGAACCATGTAGATTTCGGAA